GCGAACGAGAGGTTCGATGATGTTGAGCTCTGTGGTGTGGCTAAGAACATTGGCGATCACATCTCTCGCTATTTCCTTCAGGCACCGATTCTCTTGGTACATGTCTTCTTATGCTTTACTTTCAAGTACAGCCGTTTATTGGATCACTAGTTTTAACCATCTTATGTTGCACTTGTATGGTGTTTTGAAGTTGAACAGCAAAAAACTTGAGGCCTTACCAAAGGGTAAAGATCGAAGCCCTGTGATGCAGGTTGGTATTTCTAATCACGACAGCGTTTCGTAAAGCTTAGGATAGCATGGAATTGAGATTTAGAAGTTAGTCAATTTAGTAAGGAATATATATCAAGGCCACTCTACACCAGTATATCTTCTTGGCATTTGACTTGGTATATTGTTATGCTAAATATAAGTCAAGAGAAAATAGTAAAAGACTGAGAACCTCGAGTTTTGTAGTATTTGCTAATTTGTTGTTTACTCCGGCTCTTGTCTCATTGTTGCGTTGTTATTTTTTCATTGCATCCTACACAAATACTGTAAATTATTAGATATAAAACATGACGATACTAGCTGATTACAATTCCACACTACCTACTTGAATTGTGCTAGCAACCTTCTTGACACCAAGCTTATACTGTCCTTTTAATCAACACTTGTCTCTCCCTTTTCTTTTGGTACTTTCGGCTTGATACAAAGCAATTTTGCAGCACTTAAAAGGCATCTTTATCATTTTTGATAGTAGTAATTTACGATGTTGTATGTATATGCTAGCTCTGTGTGAAGGATGCTTCTAAGAACTGGAGAGTGGTTGGAGCAGATGGAGGAAGCAAGCTACTCTTGAAAGAGCCATCGGCTAATGTAGTTTTGTTGGATTACATTTCATCTGAGAAATGGAAGGACGTCACAGATGTTGATGATCATCTTGACGATGTCACCAAGTAAGTTAGATACACGAACCGAAAAAAGAAATAGCTTCAACCTTTATGTACAAGATGGTAATATCTCACTTATATTCACTGTCATTGCAGGGACTGGCTAAACCCTGGACTTTTCAACTGAAGACGGATATGCGATATAGCTACATTAGACTTTTTTGCTTTCATCATATTCAGTCGAAAAAGAAAAAAAAATTCTCAGAGACCCTTGTTTACAATTTCCCTTGAATTTTGTTGACGTATTTATCCAGCTATGCAACAGAGCTCAAGTTACTTTTAATTGGTAATACATCTTAAACCCTAATTTTATCATTTTATTTTAATGATATCTTTTGGATCTTGTTCTCGTGATCCATTTTCTTGTATCTTTGGTTGCATTTTGATTATATAGTTGGAATGAAAGCTCTGCTTTATTTGGCTGTTGTTCTTAAACTTGCAAAATACATTGTTAAATCCTGAAGAACATGAAACCAAATCTAGTGCTTTTACATTGCCTGAATTGCTTAATTTCTTAGGGACTGGTTATTACACAGATATAACGATTACCAAAGCCATGTTCGGTATCAACAATTATTCCTTTCAGGGAAAAATTTCATCTGCATCAACCTTAAAACACAGGACAGCCTTTGACGACAACACCTTTTGCCGTTGGGCAATGCGCTAGAGGGCAGTGGTCTGTATTCTCAAGCCCCCACCAATCAGGTAAGCTTATATCATTGTTCTGAAGGGCAAAGAATATCAACACTCCCATAATCGCTGTACCTGCATCAAGCGCTGCAGAGAGGATGTAGTTGTGCCTCGCCCACCAAGTTTTAAACTTCCTGAAGATATAGTAGTTGAATATAACCCCAACGATGGCCCAGGACCAGTAATGCACAGCTTTGGCTTGTGGCATTGCACTTACTGCAGAGAAGATCAAGGGAATATGGATCTGTTTTAGCCATTTCTTCTCTGGGAACTTCTTCGATAGGTACCAGAAGGGAACTGGAGTGAAGATGCCGATAAGGAAGAACCAGTTCATCCCGGGGTAGATACCTTCCTTGGTAAACATTCTCCCTGGACCAATCACTCCCCATATGATCGATGCATTGTAGAACACTTCATCTCCAGGACATGTCCACGGACTACCCACAGGGAGCAAATCCGTGTTACATATGTTCTCGACAGATGTAATGAGCCACCAGGTTGTCCCGAAGCAGACAGATGATGCAACCACAGTTGCAACAAGCTGGACGATGAACATAGATCTTGGAGGGATCTTCATGTAGTGACCAAGCTTGAAGTCTCCGACAAAGTACAAGGCTTGAGACATACTGATGTATCCGTAGGTCTTGAAAGCGACATTGGCTAGTGGCCTTCCCGGGTATAAGTACCCAATGATCAGTTCTGTTATAACATTAAGACCCATTTGCTGGTTTGTAGTTGCTTGGATAACTCCGATAGGCAATGTGAAGAACAAGGCGATGGCGCACGCGAGTATAAGTCCCCACCATGGAAGCTGAAGCTGTTTGTCAAAGCCCTCACAAGCATAGAGTGCTAAAGCAAAGGAAACAACGAGAACTACGATGAACCACCATTGAGGTACTGCTTGATAGTTCTTCTTCATCAATCTTGAATGCACATCGCTGTACTTATCCTTAGTTGCTGACTTTGCCTTCTTCCACATTCCCCATATAAACCTTAAGATACAAAACACAGAAGAAGCTTAGAGACAGTCATCATCATATCAGGTATTCAAAATATGTTAAAAGATCCTTACTTTCCGTCATAGAGAGCGACATGGGAGATGGTAGCGGTAAGAGAACCGAAGCTGAGTCCATAGAGCAACGCGAACATCACACTCAAATATAGCTTGCTGTAATCATTGTACTCTTGTAGATCGATATCGAAGTTCTTCTCATTGAGAATACGGGTAATGTTGTAGGAATGTCCACTCGAATCAAATGTTTGCGAAGTATAGAACGGAAACTTCTGTGCATCGTAAGCATTAGTCCAGTAGAAGATAGGTAGAACAATGTATAAGAAGATGAAGAATCCGCTAAAGAAATTGGCGATGGCGAAGAATGGTACAGCCAATGGACTGCCTAAGAAACCAGCAACCGTGGACCAGTCGAGACCAAACGAACCAATTCCTAAACCCTTGAGCCCCGAACCGAGAATCTGAGCCGTCACCGAGTTTTTCCAAATCCAGCAAACGAAAGAAATCGCGGAAATGGAAGGGAAAAGGTAACCCGGGATTATGTAGTAAGCAAAGCTGACGCTGAAGACAATGATGAAGAATCTTAGCCTTGTTTGTTGCCCTTTTTGTAGATCCTCCTTCTCATGTAAAGCTCTGTTACACATATTTTGACACAAGTCAGAATCGAAAAAAACCGGTTTCAGAGATTTCAAATGCAAAGTGATAAGAAGTCATCATGGATATCAAACCGAAACGAACCTAAAGAGTGAGACTTGAACCAAATTTGACGGCCACCACATATACGGCGACTCTACCAAGAACTTCCTGAAGATTCCAGCCCATCCATATCCCAATAACTGCAAGAAAATGACTGTCAAAGATCAAGAACCGTAGAAAATATTGATACTTTAGCCATTGCAGTATTCAAATGAAAATAGTTGATTTTAATTATGAAGTGCGAGAAAAATGATAAAGAAGCATAGAGATCGTTTTTCATATAACTTAAAATCTACAAGAAAATGTCAAAAATCATAAAGATTGTTTGTTTGGTACAATTATTCACCTAGAAAACAAAAATACTTTTTTTTTACACATAAAATTGCAAGAAAATATTAAAGATAGCATTTTTTTTTATGCTACTGTTGCATTACATCCACCCATTTAAAACTAAGAAGAGTTGATTTCTGAGTCGTTTACGTACCTGAGTGGTTTGTGTGAGCAACATCGCGGCGGCGACATTGAGTTGACGGTGGTAAAAAGCTTTAACAATGGTTATAATATTGGTGGCGTAAACTCCTCCGGCTCCGGTATTAGCAAATATTGTAATAAGAACATGTTCCTTCATATTGAACGGACCAGGATTAAACGACCACGTCCAGTTCGTCCCAGGGAACCCGAATTTCTTCGTTGGGAGCGTCGCCGCCATGAGTTTCCCGAGCGGAAGAGTCACGATCTGAGCAGCCACCGACGAAACCCAAAGCTGGTTTGACCGGAAACTGAAGAACTGGTTCACAAATGCAAGTAATATGCAAGAGAGAAGTCCAAGAAACCATGTCCGGAATGTTAAAACAGGTTGGGATGGATTGTCGGTTATCGGTACGGTTAACCGGACTTCTTCTATGGGATTGTCATTCTCCTCCTCTGCTTCTTCTTCCCCTGCAAGTCAAATTCAATCCAAGAACTCTTAAACCGACCACAACCATTAGAAAAATTAACAACCACTTATTCAATAT